GCAGACCATCACCTCCCATACCCGAGTCGGGGAGAAAGCGAACCGGATCAAATCAAAATCCTATCTCCAGCAAGCTTGTCCCCCAGTATACATATCATTCCAAGGGCTCGAAATGGCCACGGGCTTGCCAGTCCATACAGCACCAGTTGTAGGTCCGCATTGGGACGCAGAAATAGCGCTGATGATCGCCATGGCAGGGTGAGACACTCTAATGTCGAGCAGTTATAGGACAGGGCAGCCAGGCGGACAAGTATAGGGTGTAACCCGAGTCTAACCCTTAAACGGTTGGTTTTGGATTCCACAGGTAGGCCGCAGACGCCATCAAGGAGCTCGGCGACTGAGAAAGCAAGCGCATGAGTGAGAATCCTACTGGCATGCTTCCCTTGAGCCAAATGTTGCTGCGGTAAGCTTTTGTGAAGCATAGAACTCTGGACGTGCTTGCAAAGGCCTGCATTGGAATCTGGTCCGTGGGACTTCTTTGCGGTCTTGCTCGGACTGTTTCTGTTGGTTTGGAGGGTCAGTCGTCCAGAATGGAAGCTGCGCGGATCAGTCTAGCAGTGAGACTTAGACATCTGCTGATTGAGCACGTATGAGTTATCGAACCTTCTCGGATTCAGCCCCAGCTCGGATGCCAACACTACGTCAGCGGTAATCAGCTGAGACGCACGTCTTTGCGCGCGGACTCCGCGCAGGCAGCTGAAACACAGGCGATTGCCAGGTCCATTCCAGGTTTTCGTGCAGTTTGGACACGAACATTTAGCTTGTGCTTTGCACCGAGCTGCGAAGTGAACATATAGTGGACACAGGTGAGAGGCAAACGGCCTCTTCTGCGGCTATTACACTGTAAGTCTGTGACCTTATCACCGGCTTCTCAGCACCATCTTCTTTGGCCTTTGCGAGTCCTTGCGCACAAGCGTGCGAGCGCGCGTGCTTTGCAGGCTGGGAGTCAGGAATGCAGATTGGCAAGCATGGAAACACAGACGAACATGTCATAAATGCGTGGGACATAGGGCCTCACAGGGCATAGCCGCCGTAGCCCTTCTTCATGCAGTCTAGTTGCAATTTTTGCTCGCGTAACGCCAGAAATGCCTTTGAGAGCCTTCTTATTGAAAAAACAATCTGAACACATAATCGCCCTTTCCCAATGGTCTTCGCTACTCGTAAAGCCTAGCTAGCGTACCCTGCATAAGTTTTATGGATGCCAGCCCAAACTTATGCGTAAACTACTGCTACGATCAGGCGGGCACTCGTGCCCCGAATCCAACATCCTAATGTTTTTTTAGTTTAGGCGTTGGGGTTCAAGGTTCAGGGCTTGGCGGGACGTATTGCCGAAAGCGTGCAGCATTCTTCTGAGTGCCCAGCCGGTGCAGCAAAAAAAGTACGAGTAGCCGAACCAGCCTAGATGGGCTTGGGGTTTTTGGATTAATGCCGCATTTCCATAAACCTTACACCCTCAACCCATATAAATCCTGAGCTCCCAACTTCTAACTTGGGTCCACGAACATCCAAGTGAACGCATCAGATCTTAATGCCCTGTCCTTTGCAGGCTCTTTGTCCGAGGGCTGAAGCTTGCATCTGAGGGCTTGATTGAAGCCCTTTGAAGTTTGAGCTTGGGGGCATCGTTGGGCTTTATGTTTGGGCTGAGGCCTAAAATCTGGCTTAGTCTTGTCGCCTTCGTTACAGGGGGCCAATCTTCGAGCTAGGCCGGCCAATGCAGCACTCTGGCAATCTCTTTGCATCTCTTTGCGGCCAGGTTTCCTCAGGGATAACTGTCCACTCTTCTTGGTTGAAGTTTGTTCGCAGTTATCAAAAAGCACCGACACCGAGCGCTCTAGGCCCCGCCTCAGAATTCAGCAGGTTCCAGTGTGAGTACAAAGGTGACAAAGGGCCCTGGGGCAGTTCCACTTACATCGCCATTTAGACTCGTGTACGGGGAACCACCCATCAGGGAGCGGAATGGGGGGAACTCACTTGTCGGATTCGCTTTCGTCCAGGCTTTGGCCTGTGCCTCTGCTTGCATACGTACTACTGCGCAGCCCCCTGCATGGGGTATGTTGGGCTTATTGGGTGTGCTGAATATTTGGGACATATTGGGCAGACTGGATACACTGAATACAACGGGGAAGTTGGGTAACCTCCAGCTGCTCAGCTACTGCACGCGGCGGCGCCGCCCAAATCAATCACCCCCCACCACAATAGGCAAACCATGGCAAACCCGATAAATTCAACACTGGGAATGCTCCATGAGGTGGCTGCACACACGATTCTGACTGCCTGGCCTAAACTAAGGTTGGCTTCACACACAATGGCTTCATTGCCTCTCACTCTCCATTCAAAATAATTGAATGTAATTACGAAGACCAATCTGCACAGCGGCATCAAGCAGCGACGCAGCAAGCAAGTATCACGGCAAATAGATTATGACTAACTGGCCGTGCCCGCTTCTCCTCAGCATGGTAGCGCGCGGATTCAGCCTGGCAGCGCCGTCAATGCGATCAGGGGCCACTTCCAGCACCCCTGCCTAAAGATCCCGAGCCCTGAAGGACTGCACAAGATCTGATTCAGTGTTTGCTACTCCAGCTCCAGACTTCACACTTCATGGCCAGTCCTTGACGCTCAATAAGGTTCCTGAGCTTCCTGAAGCTCCAAACTTGGGAGACTCTGGGATTTGATCTGTGACACTGAAGTTCGGCCCCACGACGGTACATAAACGTGCAACAGGGTCCGCCTGAGGGTATCGTGCCTTTTTTGGCTTTCTGTTGGCCCTCATTAGATCTCAACGCGGAGCAGGTTGTGAAACAACAGCGAACGATAAAGTAAGCGCTGCTGAATCTGAATAAACCCATCTTGCAGACTATACAGCTCGTGTGCAGTTTGGGAACTTCCGAATCAGCATGTTGAAGTGGAAGCGCCTTACCCGGAAAAAACAGGAACTACGTGCTGCCCCAACTCGCCTGCAAATAACGCGGCAATGCACTCTTAGCAGTATCGGCCCCCTGCGCCTGCCGCTTTCGCTTGTCGTCCCTTTTTTGCTGCTTGTGCTCCTCATCGGCAGCTACTGGGGCGCTCGAAGAGCAAAACCAATTGAGGGAGTCTGGACGAGCTCCCCGCCCTGCAAGACTGGGTCTTTGCCCGCTTGTCGGCAGCTTTCTGCAGCCGCTCCTGCATGCCGCGCGCACATACGCAAGTCGCTTGCATGGACCCGTGCAGTCGTGCGCAAAACAGACAAGGCTCCTGGCTTTGGTCCTTCTGTTTGTCTGGGTGGAACTTCAGGGATGCTCGTGCATACCTGCCATAGCAGGAGAAGCAGGCGAATCAGTTTCAGAAAGTCGCATGCTCCGTGCTGGCAAGTCGCGCTTTCTTGATGTCAGCCTGCCGAACATGCATGTCATTCTGGAATCAAAAACGCGCTTACGAAATCTGACAGGCCTGCGACGTGTTCACTCTCTCAAGGCCGAGGATGTCGTAGTAGTCCGCCATTTCGCGCAGGCACTCGAACTATTTCGCTACTGAGTCACGCGGTCTCCGGGATGTGAAATTCGGATATGGCGGGCCGACGCCTGTTGCAGAATCCTCCAGTCTTCCAGCAAGCATCCGGTCTATTCACCACGTCTTCTAGAGCCAAACAGGTCTAGTCTTGCGAGGCTTGACCCAGAAGTGGCAAGCTGCTCGAAAAGACGTCGTGAAACGTCGTTCATCTGCAGTTCCACAGAAGACTCTTGGACCATGTTGGGCATACCCCCTTGGTTGGCGACTGTTCAATATGAGCCATTGTCAAAACTCCCCTAGGTGGAAGATTTCAAGAAGATTCACAACCCGCAGCCATGACGGAAGCGAAACAGGCCCTCTGCAAGCTACTCGGCACGCTGGCCGTGCGAAGAAAGACACCCAATATGGCTTACCACAAGCCACCTGGAGCCGAAGGAAGCCATCAAGTGTAACAGGGGGGCGGGCCTTTCACTTTGGCCTTCAGCTTCTCTTGCTTCTTCTTGTTTGTCGGCCTGTCTGTTAGCATTTTTGGTGTGTCCTGAGTTGGAGCCGCACTCTGCAAACAGAATCACGCGCGCACTGTTCGGCCGGTCCTTCTGGTCAGACAAGCGCTTCTTCATGTAGTCCTCCCTTGCATCGTCCTGAGCTTTTTTTTGACCACCAGCAATCACCACTCACGCACGCAATCACAACAATAAACGCTTCGTGCCAGCAAGTAGCCACCGTCGCTTTGTTGCGGACGGCCACCAGCAGCACAGGGAGCACGAGCAAAGCAAACAAATTACGCATGATCCCTCAGCAACTCTCGCGATCTGGAGCAACTTCAGATGACAGCAAAGCTTACGGATTCTTGCGCAACTCACGCGATCTGGAGCAACTTCAGATGACAGCAAAGCTTACAAATTCTTGCGCAACTCTCGGGATCTGGAGCAACTTCAGATGACAGCAAAGCTTACAGACTGTGCAAAACACACCTACTGTCTACACCTGCGCCGACCGGCGCCACCTAGTTTTCTTGTCACGGACACTGTGCTACGGATGCATTCATGGCACCGTCTAAAGTCTAGGCCTGCAGGACTTTGTTGCAGTCCTCTTCATTTTCGCAAACGTCGTCTGCATCCTGGCAGTACGCGTTGTGCTCAACTGCTCAACGGCATCGTCATGCACACTCTTCAGGATCCAGGCTTCGTTCTTGCTGTCGTGGAGAGTGTCATCATCCTAGCAGTATGTGTTGCGCTAAACGGCGTTGGTCGCCATGCACACACTTCAGGATCCGCGCCTCGTTCTGGCTGTCGTCGGAGTCGAAAGTGTCTTCATCCTGGCAGCACGTGCCGTACTAAGCGGCGTCGCCATGCATATACTTCGGGACCCGGGCTTCGTAGATGGCAGCGTGCATTTCTGCGGCCATTTCTTCGCAAGCTCTGCCTGCTGCGAATGGCTTGGAGTTCCAGGTGGGTTCTTTGTCTGTCAAGGGGCCAGAAACCCTTGAGACTATTTTAGGAATCTCAGAACCCATTACAATAAGCTCCAAAACTGCTTAATTATGGGCTTTATGAGATGAAATCTAGAAGAAACTTCTTCGAACTGCTTCAAGCCGTTGGGAACCGTTTCAACCCGTTCCGAAAACAGTTCCTGAGATCCATGACGTCGAGCCGATGCAAAGAACAGTTCATGAGATTTAGGAAGCAATTTCTGGAGAGTCCTCCCCTGCATCCTGCGGACAGATACCCCTGCATCAAGAAACCATTTCGAACTCCAACGAATGGCATGGAATCTGACCCAAGCTTTGCATTGACACTCGAGTCCTCGGTGCGTAATTTTTAACATTACTCTGCTCCCTGCTGCAACTCCCTTCCTTTTCACACGCACGCCAATGTGCAACTCTGACCCCATGTGCGCTCGAGCGGACGTGCTCTGCAGCGCTTGACTCACATTGAGCCAGTCCATGTCGAGATGTACCAGCAATCCCGCCTTGCTCTTCCCTCAGGGGATGTTTACATCTGGAGAAATATGAGACAAAGCTATCCAGCGCCCACAGACGTCAACAATTGTTCCCATCTTCAACGTCTTCACCCCGATGAGGATTGGGAGCTTTTCTGCGTTAATGGCGCACATGCAGAACCATCACGTAGCTCGAGGAGAACTGCACGCCACCGTTCCCGAAACGAAAAGGTGTCCGTGAAGATGGGCCAGTAAAGACTTCCACTGGTTCTGACGCGCCACGGATCTGTGAACGCATCGCCATCAACGTCTCCGCAGCTTCCAAGGATCCAGCAGTCTCTGTCGCTCCCAGATCGAGAACGCAATAGCCTGCAGTGTGATCAACCACTTCACCACCTTCTGAGATGGACTTGCCGAGGAACACTGCATGCGCCGCCTTGTCGGAGAAGTGCGTCTGGTCGCCAACAGTCTCGTAGGGGTGGTCGGAGAGCTTCTTGTCATAGAACACCATGTCGCTGCGAATGTCGCGTGGTCGGAGAGCTTTTTGACGGAGACAACCGTAGCACGGGGGTAGATGCAGACGGGGCCGCCAGAAACACGGACTTAGGGGAGGTGGCTGGGGCAGGGGCTGCTGCAGCAGGCAACAGCGGAGCTACGGGCGTGGCCGGAGCCGGAGACCTGCAACGGAAGCGTTTGAAGACAAACCTATAGGCATCTGCAGGCTCAAGAGACTGAGAGCCAGGCTGGCTCACGGGTTTGGGGGGCGGGCGGGGAGAACAACAGGAGGGGGGGGTTACTGTCGTTGTTGGGTGGGGGGGGGGGAGAACAACAGCCCCCCCCACCCCGCTATCGGCTCCATCTGAGGGCCGTGTATTGAATATCTGCGGCACAACGGGGAGCGCCTGAAGACTGCAACAAAAGATGCAGAATCCAGGCATAACCAGCATTCTCATAAAAGCGGTCTCCGGCCCGTAACACCAGATAAAACATTTACAATCATTCGGTGGGTCGGTTGGCTGTCTCAGGGTGTTTGGTCTAAGGGTAGACCATAGGAATGTCCGGAGAATCTTGCACAACACTCCGCCTTTCTACAACGTCACTCACTCGGCGGATCTCGCCTGGCCCTCAGGTACACCGGGGTAGCCATACAGCCACCTGTCAGGAGGAGTCCAGGGCCCCATCGGAAACCCAGGCTTCAGGAGTGCAGGTATCCTGCCACGTCTACAGGGTTGGGAGACCCGTTGCGAGCCCCGACTCCAAGAGTCCAAGACTCCAAAGTCAGACCTGATTCCCTGATTCTAAAACTCGCAGACTGGAGCTGGAAAATGGCTGGACTTCCGAACTCAGCAATTTCGCTTCCGCGGAGCGGTTGCCAGACAGCCTATTTACAGTGTTTCTACACAGGGCGAGGAATCGTGTACCGATCTTTGGGCCTCTCTGCAGCTGCTTGTTCGCGATACTCGGGCTTGGTTTGGGCTTAGGCTTAGGAATTACCTAGTAAAACCCGTTTTTGAAGGAGGTCTCTCTGATGAGGCATGCAACTTGGAGGCACTTCAAAGAGAAGTAAAACCCTCAACCCTAAACAAAACGAAATCGAATCGAGCTGACACCGACCCGTCTCAGCTTCGACTGAAGCCGTGCAAAGAACTTCGTGCTTTCGCATTTTCTGCTCCAGGTGGAACCCTTAGCCAAGTTTAACTCCTTGGCCCCTAAAGCTGCTATACAAGAACCTGGCTTCCAGTTCGAGCCGCTGAAATCGAAGTGCGTTCGCCATGGGCTCAGTGAGCTCGCCGGGTCCTGGCTGATTGTGGATGCTGCTGTAAGTACTTGAAGGCCGCACTTATTGTCGTGATAGTGCCTGCGTTGATATTGCGATGGCTGCCGACAAGCGTTGCCTCTACCACGGGAGGCAAGGATGAGGAGCCGATACTCATGTGGTGAGCCCGTCAGGTCGGCAGAAGGATGCTTGGTCAACTCCTTTCTAAGGGTCGCTATAGGTTGCCTGTCCTCTCCTTCTTTGGGGTGTACTGCAGCAGTACCGCTGCGGGTCACTTACCCTACTCGCCAGAGCAACTTTGCTCAGAGGCCCTAGGCAGCCCAGCCCTGTTCGGGAGCGCTCCCTTCGCGAGGCTGCTGCTGCGATGAGTTCCATTGGCGCGCATCGTCTACAAGATTACTTGAGTATTACCTCTACCCGCCTGTGTTTGCCAGCGGCCGGCTCGTGTTACCAGCACATCCACGACGATATCCACCACCGCACTGACAGTGTTATTTACAGCACCCTGGGACACCCACAGATGCGTTGCCGGGACCTACAGCCAACTCCTCCGACCAAAAGCACGGCCAATAAATTAACACAAACGGTACCAGCAGTTTGACTTGGGATTTTTGGTGTACGCTTCTGGCGCGTATAGCGCACAGGGGTCACAGCCTCTTGTGTAGCTACACGAAAAAACTTCGGGCGCAGCAGCTGGATTTCAGTCTTGTGTATTCACGCGAAGAAACAACCATTTCGCCAGGTCCGCAACCAGATTCGCAGCAAGAGCATGAACGACATGAACCCAGTACAGCAGCCGCACGGCATGCTGAATGCCATAACAAGACCTGCCATACCACCACTACCAATCACAAGCCTACTGTATCTGTATGCTGAATGAAAAGGATACTGCCAGTAATAGTGAATAGTCATAGCAGCCACCATCTCGGGAGATTACTGATCAGCGAGCATGACAGGTTCGAGCCTTTGGAAGTTCTGCGGATTCGTTGATTCTGCTTCCGCAGCCTTCTTGCCAGCAGCGTCTGACTGGCTACAACAACTCGCACACCTGCAGGACTTTGGTGCTTGGATGTAACGTGCTGTGCTATGGCTGCTATGGGCTTCTTGGCGGTTCAGGGTTTCAGCCGAGGAAAGTTGCCCCACATGTTCTAATTTGCAGTCTCATCTGCTGATCTGCGAAATGCAGATCAAAAGATACCACCTACTGGACCGACCCTGATATACCACGCCATGCTGGTTCTCTCTCCGGCGGTCCGTCCAGGGTCATCTCCAGGAGTGCCGCCTCTTCGGGATCTGGACGGCAGAGTCGCTGAAGCGAGGGCTGCAGCGCCAGCACCTGCAACGAGGAAGCAATTGGGGGTTTCCGAAACTCGGGGACCCTAATATAGTACCCCAAAATAATAGGATCCTTATTATAAGGACACCCAAATAAGGTACCCCCTATTTTCGGAAACTCCCAATTTCCAAAGCTGTACTTTTTACGGTTTGTCGATTGCTGGAGAACGCCACGCTGAATCTGGTACAGTCAGTGCGTCCCCCGTGCGGCAAAACACATCCTTCCTTTCCGGGCTCAGCACACTGATCTTGTAGGCGTGTTATCCTCCTGCAAAAATCCCCGAAGAACTGGCCTCCCCAATTTTCCGAAACACCAAACCACCGCGTGTCCAAAGCGACCCCCACAAGACCGTGCCTGTGCCCATTGTCCGCCTGGCTCTCTACTTGGTGTGCTGGGGCAGATGAAACACCAACACATCCCAACAATGCCCACCCAAGGGGTGGAATGGGAAACTCAACACAGGAGTTGTTTGGCATGCGAGTGAAATATGCCATGCTACTGTTTGCACACCACTGGAGACACTTGCAAGCAGCAAAAGGAAGGCAGATAGATCCCTGCCGGTTGGGGTGTAGAGATCGCAGCTTTGCTTCGGATTAGTAGCATAGTCCATTCGGGAAGAGAACTTGTAACAGACAAGGCTTCTCCCTGCATATACATTCGGTGTAAGTGCTTCCTTCATATAGGAGTTGTTCCTGTTGTTTTGAAGACACATAAACTTTAGCAAGCTCTGCGAACATCCCTGTGGTAAGCCCGGACGTCCCGGATAAAAGTTTGAGTTCATCGCCTTGCTTTGCAGGCGCATAGTCGTCTTTTTTCGGCACTGATGTCTGAGGACGGAAATCTCAAGAAATGTACCCGGCGTCCGGGCAGAATCTCGACAGCTGCTGTCCAGCACTAGGTCTTTCCACCGTACAATTTTAGAATAGTGTTTGTGGCACGTCTTTAACTGTGTAACTGTATGTAAAACCTGGATTCCTTTCTTGCCTGTAACGTTGCCCTCGATCGAAGCTCACTGCTCATCCGGGTGCCAATGTTCCCTTCACTTGCCGGTTTCTGCATTGATGCCTTGCTGATGCGTCCCGAAACCAATATTTGTGATTGTGTACGTCCGTAGGAAGAAGCTTGCCGGCACTGGCTCTTGCAACATGCCCTCATCGACGTCCATGTTTCACGTGCAGATGTCGATTATCGACCTTGCCAAGCTCGAAGCTACTATGGATACTATGGAATAACAACAGATGCCCAACCCAACAGATGCCGAGACACAATTCTCGCAGGCGCGCAGGGCTGCATCCAGGGCTCCTGTAAAGTTCGTGCTGCTGTGGAGAATTGAGAACAGTTTGAGGTAATCAGAGATGAGCGATGCGCTGTAACTGGTTGCAACATCCAGGAACAAGAAGGAGGCACGTGTCGGGAGACGTGATGCCGGCCGGTTCCACATGCATAACCCTGGGTATTACTTTTGTGTGGTCGTTTCACGATGCTCCTGTGTGACATCTACTGGCTTTTCTACGACCATTGCAACTCGGATCGTGCCCAATCACGAGCCTGCAACCTAGCTTAGACGATGACAGGATAAGTAGAGGCAAACATACAATGCAGCAACTCAGCTGCAAGGCAGTTGAGCAGTTGGAGAAGCCCAAACGGTCATGAGGCTTAGAGTTCCCAACCCTAAACCCCTATACCCTAAACCCTCAATCCCTACATACCCTATACCCTAAGCCCTAAACCCTTAAACCCCTGAACCTAAGGACTTCCTAAGCCCGAGATGCCACGCTCGACGCCGATGCCCTTTGCCGATGCATGGCCCAGGAGGTGCACGGCTGCTCTCCACTGTGCCTCAAGACGGTATTCCCGAAGCTACCATGCATCTGAGGTCTAGGGAACCTATGTGGGAGAAGGCCGATTATGAAGTTTGAACTACTGGTGGATTGGGCCGATAGGATTCGGCTGATTCAGCGTCTTAGACTCTCCAACAGCCAGCCTCAATCCTAAACCCTAAACCCAACCACAGAGCCGAGGCATGCCGAGGCAAGGGCGCTCTGGGCAAAGGCCGGTGCAGCTGCATTGTATGTCCTCTCGGGCCGCCCGCCATGATGCGCAGACTTTTTTTTAATCTTATTCTTGCTTGATGGGATGAAGTCAGATGCTTTGCCACCCCTGTGTTCATGAGTCTTGCGGGGAATCCCTTGCCAGAGCTGTCGGACTCGGGACGAAAAAGAGCTGAAGGCATTGTGGGGGTGAGCTAGTACCCAGCAGAGAAGGCAGGGTTGAGAATTGGTTAACTGCTTTGATGCGGCACCCTCATGCTTCCTGTTCGCGCATTAGCTGCAGATCCCGGTGCCCACACCCGAGACCAAAAAAACAACGAACAAGACCAGTCGAAGGAGTTTCGAGCCCACCGGTCGCAGCATCCGCTGCCAAGCGTAGCCAGGGATCGTCCGAAAAGAGGGCCAGGGTCTTCTCCCACCTCGTAAACGCATGGCTTGGTGCAAAGGCTTTCAAGGCTTGCGGCTGGCGGACGTAGGGGTTGAGTCCTCATGGAGTTGCATCATCTGGTTGGGCTGAAAACTCTGTCGGTTCGGATTTTTCCTCCGGGCTCGACTGTCGTTTTGCCCTCTCGCACTGCTGAGGACTATGCTCGCGGGTCCGGAGTCTAGGGTTTCGGGTCATTTTCTGCAAGACTCAGCTTCCACGATTCGCTTTCTCTGAAGAAAACACCAATCCTGTTCGCAGTGAGCAAAGCAATCGTCAACGGGCAGTGGGAGTGTTCATGAAACAGAGGCGCGAGTTTTGTAGTGGGCCTTGGCAATCAGAAGCCCAATATTCTCAGGGTTGTCTTGGGATCCCTAGGTGCCGCATCAGGGGCCTGCCTCAGCTCAGGATCCAGCAAGGAATGCTTCTGGCAAAGGTTTGCTGAGAGCACCTACTTGATGGTCGAAGGACTCCGCACAGCCAGGCACAGGATCATTCCTTATTGAGAGAAGCTCAAGCCTCAGCCAACCAATCTGAAAAACTGACATGCCCGATGAAGAGCTCATGTTCAAATCGAGGCTTTGAGGCAAGTTGCTGTGTAGCCTTGGCCAAGGATCCAAGCATAAAGATGTAACCTCATCCGGGCAGCGCCCCAAACTCCAAACCGCGGGTTGTGTCACCTACTGCTAAGATCGCTTAAGGTCGGAAGTGATGTATGTCTGCTGGCATACAGCTTTCCCCCCGATGTTTGGCTTTTACACAATGGCGTTGTCAAAGGTGCTATAAGTGTTCGGCTGCAGGGCGGTGACGTACATCTCCTGGCCAGAACAGTCGGGAGCGCACGGCCCGAACTTCCACATGGGTAGTTTTCTAAATTAGGGTCCTTGTTAGGGACATTATTATAAGGGTGCCGTACTATATTGGGTACCTAAAAAGGGACCCTACTTTAGAGAACTACCCACATGCCTTCGTAGCCACAGAGTCGTCTAGTAGTATAGCAGGCATGACAGGACCACGTGGCTTGGAAACATATTGCTACAGTGGCAAGGGACTCTTGTTCAGGTGCCTGCACAGCATCTTTTGGGAAAATCACGGGGTCGCGAATCAGAGAACGATCCGCCGTGCAAAACCCTAAACCCTAAACCCTAAACCCTCGATGGCCATGAGCACCAATCCCCGGACCCTCTCTGAACCCGCCTGCAGCAGATCCACTGCCAACTCCCAGCTTCGGCCAGCCTTCACTTTAGAAGTTTTTTGGGGTTCGAGGTTCCTTGATGTATGTAGATTCGGCTTGCTAGTTGTGTACTCTTTCCACCTTGAGTTGCAGAGCTGAGGGTTGTTGCGGGTTCTTTTCTAGCTTCAGGATTCGTCATGAAAGGTTATCAGAAGCAAACGTCTCGGAGCTCAGGGCTCAGGGTTTAGGGATTCTGAGATCAGGGAGGTTTCAAGCTCTCGAGGTTGAGCGTGAAGATGTTGGGGTGAGTCGAATTATCACAGCCAAGGCAAATGTCATGGACATCGCTTCGATTTGCAACAGGCGTTATGGGTAACTCTGGGCCGGCAGAGCAATCACCAGTCATGACCGATCCCCGCCTGGCACGCCTTGAGGACGGCATTGTAGCAAAGCGTGTCGGGCGACTCCTGCTGCCAGTCTGCTATGATCCGGCCTGTCTCATCTCTTGCGACTTTCAGATTTTCCAGCAGCGACCCAGTTAAGGGTTTATAGGTTTAGGGTTTAAGGTTAAGGTTATGATACCAGGACACTGAATCCGTTTATAGGTTTAGGGTTTAAGGTTAAGGTTACGATACCAGGACCCTAAGAATCCCAAGGCAAAAGATACCGAAAAGGCTCCTCGGCCCACCAGATCTGCGAGAAGATGTCCAGAGCCTGGAGGCGAACAGCTCCTAAGTAAGACCTGCCCAGTCGAACAAGCCAATATAGTATCCTAAATAGTAGGACCCTTTTTTTAAAAGGACTCCAAAATAAAGTGTGTAATTACCCCTCATTGCAGTTTGGGGCTTTTAGGGCTTCTTTTCGGATGGCGGTTTGGGGCTTCTTTTCCCTCCCGCATGGCAGAGAACTATGCTCACAGGCGAGGTTGTAAAGGAAAGCTCTCGACGCACCTAATTACAGACTAGCAACGCTCTGTTCAGATGGCTCATCAACGAGGTTCATCGTCAATTAATTAAACAAGCGCTAAGCTTGACTGATGCATGTACGACAGTCAGAAAGTGACGACCCACATCATGCCTCTTACAAGCTTGAGAAACAAAGCTTCCTTATAAGGTATGCTATAGTAGAGCAAGGACGGCAAGGATCAAGTCACTCCCTAGCTACATGTATGCACGCCACATGGTCTGGGGCTTAGGGTTTAGGGTTTAGGGGTGTTGGGTTTAGGGTTTTTTTGGGGGGGTTCGGCACTTCTGTTTTAGCGACACCCCGCATGTTGCCAAGCAGGTTTGAAAGCTGCTGCGGCTCCTGCCGTTCACTTCGGGCTCGCCTGTGACCCGGAACAACGAACCCATGCCTTGCTCTGAAAACCCCGCCTTTAACATAATTTGGAGGCCTGGATGACACACTACTCCTCTCTGGTAGTTCTAGTACTATACTTGGAATACTTGGAAGCCCTAGTCTAAGTCTTAGGGCCCTTGTACCGAAGCCATGGTTAAAGAAGCCCTTATAACTTATGCCTAAACCCTTTTACACCTGGACTAC